TATCTAGAAATGTGAGTAACGCTCTACCTTGTTTTCAATTTGCTTCCTGTTGTATTGACTTTTTTTAAATCATTACCTCCATTAGGCGGATGAAACAGAACAATCATAGTGTTTGAGGTAAAAACATGTTGTATGAGAAATGCAGTGTGAAGGACATGAAGTTGCTATGCAAACAAGTCAGGGTGCATCATACTTATGGAAAGCCCTTTTAAAAACGAATTAAACCTATACAATTTGAATGTCTTCCTTTTGTATTGAGTTAGGGACAGAAACCAAATTCGCCTCTACAAGTGAGAGAGAAAGTTATTTTTGTGGTTTGCTGGTGCTAGCTCACTCTTTAATCAAGAGGCTGTTTGTTTTTGTTTTGGCAAAAAGGGACAGAATGAAGGCATTTAATCAGCACAGTTTATCTCTCTGCCTCCTGCCTGTGTGTGCGGTGAAAGGTGGGGTGGGGGGAAGCGTTACCATTGGAAAGAGCATTGAACAACTGTCAGGGATGCGGTGCCCGTCATTTGTCATGCCTCCCTCGGGCTTTATGACAGAGAGTGAAGCTGGAAGCTGCGGGCTCGTCTACTGAACCACCCATCTCGTCCCAGCAGATGCGTTTACCGCCCTTCGCCATGGCTGACCATCAGGCTGCACAGCTGAGCACCAGAATATCAATACGGCTCAGACTCAGCCGGTGCCCCTGGGACTCTCTACAAGGCAAACAGGAATCGGCTCCTCTCCTTATGGAAGACAGAGACCCCTAGCCGCCAGGGAGACACAATGTAAACAGAGCGAAAAAAAAAAAAAAAAAAAAAGACGATCTGTAGCACCAAACGACAGATTGATTCACTCTAGAACAGTTGTTGTGATTTTGAAAAGCTACAGCAAAGACACTTCTCACTGGTTTTTGTTGGCACTTCTCGGGGAGGGAAACAGATGAGTCTATTGAAGGGCCGTCTGTGGGAGGAGAGGAGAGGAAAAACAGTAATCCTTTTTGTGTTCGTTATCCACAATGTCCTGAGAGATGTTGGGATGAAGAAGGAGGAAGAGACGAGGGATTTCACCACAGCAATTTATCCTTCCTGAAACTGATGCGGGGGGGGGACATAATAAGTTATTGTATTGTATCAAAGCTTTGGTTGGCATAATTGCCTATAACTGGGATTGCATTGTAGGCAGTATTAGAGGGTGTTACAGACATCATTATTAGTATTTCAGAACCGATACCAGTATTTATATCTGTTCTGATACCAGTACCGTGATTGGTATTCTGATACTGTCACCGGTTATCTGTGTTAGGACTGATACAAGTATTGGTATTCTTATACTGGTACTTGGATCTTTATTACTTCTGAGTCAAGTATTAGCAGTAAGGTATTGATACCAGTATCGACAATAAAGCCAACAATAGTAACTGTTTTAGTAGTGAGACCAATATTTGTCTTCTTGTACTGATACAAGTATCCAGTATTTCTATTAGTAACATTACCAGATCGACATTCCCAAACTGATATCAGCATTACGATATAAAGTGAGATAAGATAAGATAATCCTTAATTGATCCCCAGAGAGGACGTGCAAGTGCTGCATTAGTAAAAAAGACAAGAAAAAGAACGTGCGAAAATGAGATTGGAAAAAAAAAAACAATGTCTTTACATCTATTCACTAGTAAGTACAGAATAGACTATACACCCATTAAGTGGCAAACAATGCAAGTATCTGCATTAATACCAATACCAGTACTAATCCCAGTATTGGTATTCTGATGCTCATACCAGCATCAGTATTGGAGCAACTGTTCTAGAGGCTGAGAGGAGAGGAGTCACATGTAAGGCTCTTCCTCCTCTTCATTTGAAACCTGAAGTTTATCCCCTGAGTCAAAGACTGTGTGTCTCTCCTTTAACAGGACGGTGCTCAGCGGAGGTGGTCACTTTGTGCAGTGAGAAGCTCTTTATCTAATGGTGGGGTTGGATAATTCCTCTCTTAAGTGGTAGCGCAGGTCCTCCCCTCTATTCCTATCGCTCTTTCCTCTCATATTGGATTGTCATTTCTCTGCCTGGCTTCGTCGCCGTTTGTTGTTGTCCCTGCGGCTGTCGATGCCGTCCTCTGTGTGAAACCAGGATACGTTCCCTTTACTGCCAGACAGTCGCCGTGACACTGTTGGGGGATAAATTGCGGCGACATGTTTATCAACATACTAGAAGTGCAAGTTACCCCTTGTTGGAGGAGAATAATGGGACCTAATTGAGCTGTAACATGCTGGCTGGTTGCCAGGCCCCCTTGAATTGAAAACTCACTCCATCAGAAGGGGGTCTAAGTGGAGGGAGGGTGCTGCTAAAAACACTGCGGGAGGTTCTAACATGGATGTGAGACTCGTAAACCTATTAGCCGCACTTAAAACAGGTCGTATTTGATTAAAACCAAGCTACAAATCCGTGCATCTACCTGCTGGTGTGATGTTTAAAGAGGAGGGGGGGGGGGGGGGTGACAGCACCTGAGAGGCCTTATCCGTCAACCAAAGCGCAGCAAAGTCAGATCAATGCTCTTGAGGAGCGGCACAGCCTGTCTCCTGGCACCTGCCTTGCCAAGAACAGGAGGAGGAGGGGGGGGGGGGGAGAGAAAAAGAGAGAGGGAGCATGAGCGGGGTTGGAAGGAGGAGAAGAAAAAAAAAAAAAACCCAGCTGCCTCTGCGCCTGAGCCCCGTGCTGCTTTTTAAAGGAGTGGGAGGGAGGGAGGGTGAGGCAGGAGGGAGACTGCTGGCACCATCTGTACATGTCTTTTGTATTCCAGCCCTCATCTTTACACAGAGCGAGGCTGGTGTGCTCAGTGTTCAAATGAAAGGAGAGAGGAGAGGAGAGGAGAGGAGAGGAGAGGAGGTGCCGTTTGGGGGTGTGATGCTCTCTGAGTGGAGGGAAGGTGTGTGTTTGTGTGTGGATGCTAAAATCCTCTTTCATCTTGTGTCCTATTTATTTTGCCCCTGTGCTATTGTGCAAATGTGAGCTAAAGTGGCATCCGTCCTCACTTGCATGTCTGTTTGCAGGCGGTCATGTGTGGTCAAATCTCTGGGTTGCTATGTTAGTGATCAGAAGCTTTTGTTTGTTCCGCCCTCCCATCAGCCCCATTAGCCTGATGTCTCCTCTCTTACTGACTCACTTAGCCTTTTTTTTTTATCACTCACTCTCTCTCTCTATTTCTCACTCTTCCTCGTTCTCTCTCGGCCCATCCTTGCATGTGGCAGCAGGGTGGATCTGCCTGCACTGACTGCTGTCATATTGACGTGGCTTTTTTTGCGGAAAACCGCAGCTGAAGCCACCGAGCACTCTGTTTCACACACACACACACACACACACACACACACACACACACACACACACACACACCCATCCCCTCTCGCTCCTCAGTCACTCAGCCCTAGAAGTGGTGTGAATCATAAGAGGAGGTGGCTGCCCCGCTCCTTGATTGAATCCACATTCCCTTTCTTGTCTGACGCCGCAGAGAGAGAGAGAGAGAGAGAGAGAGAGAGAGAGAGAGAGAGAGAGAGAGAGAGAGAGAGAGAGAGAGAGAGAGAGAGAGAGAGAGAGAGAGAGAGAGAGAGAGAGGAAAAGGAAAAGTGAGTCTTTTGTAGTTGGCACAGTACAAAAACATGCACTGCAGATGAAAAGCATATGATTCGATCAAACGCTCTCTGTGGTAGCTACCTAACCGAAAGGTAGCTAGGAGGCTGGAGATAAAGGAAGGGCTGCAGTTTGATCTGCAGGCCCAGAGTGAACCCTAGTGGCCATGAGCTGCAGTGACATGCTGGGTGGATGCTGATCATGCAGCGTAATGGTGCCTTTTGTTTTTTTTATTTTTTTATTTAGTGTGAACCAATCAATAAGTCCTTAAAAACTCCTCTAATCTAATTGTAGGGCTTATATCTCTATTTGTATGAGCTGTAAATCAACAATTTGAATGTGCATTAAACATATAGGAATAAAACATCTGTAAAACATTTTTTTGCTGTTTTAAAATGTTTGGTTCATTTACTGATTTTGAATATATATTGCAAAATGAAAAAAAGACCCCCACAGATCTTTATTTTATAATACTCAACCAGTCAAGAGCCTGTCAGTACATATGAATGAAATCCACTTTTAATTAAAGTCAAAGTCAAAGTCAACTTTATTGTCAATTTCAAAATATGCCAGACATACAGTGGAATCAAAATTGCGTTTGTCTCCGTCCCGCGGTGCAATACAACCAAAATAAGGTAAAATAAGATAAGGTAAAATAGATCAAATAAAATGAGGTAAAAATAAGAGAAATAATATTTACAGTAATAAATTCTAAATTGTGCAAAAGGTACAAACAATAGATAAAACAGTAGATAAAACAGTAGATAAAAGCGGCCTGAACACAAACAAACAAATGTGTTTTTTCTCTGTTAGTCACTTTATTCACCCTCTTCTATGTCCACGATTCAACATCATGTCAGGTTTCATTTTTCAATTCACTGTTTACTCCATTCATTTTCCCATAGATTGCAAACCAAGTCATTTTAGGGGGTTGTTTGGCAAACATTGAAGGGGCGTTGTTTTTGTATCTTGCTACATGCAAAGATCTAATATATATATTTAGTCTCTGTAATGAATGTCATAAACCTGAGCATAAACAAAACGCTAACTCAGAAGAAGATTAAAGAGAAGTTTTCCAAATGTTTTAATAGTTAAAAATACCTCTGTGTAGTGTAAATTTGTCTTAATCTATATATGTTCAACATGAGGTCAAGGCATTTGAGGTTGTCAGAAGATCATTTTGCACTTCCTCAGTCAGGCTGCTGATGTTCAGTTTTAACGTCCAGATTTGCTCACAAGCCTCCATTCCTAAGTTGTTGTTCCATCCGCCGTCCTCTTCTCTCATATTAGTTCTTGAAGGTTTCTGCAGCGCTTGCAGTACAGAGCTGTTAACCTCTGCAGTCATTTCTCACAGCAGCCCCACGCCACTGACACACTCTTCTTCTGCTTCCTCTCCAGCTCTTCTGTCCTCGTGGTGCGAGGAGCTGGGACGCCTACTCCTCCTCCGTCACCAGAAGAACAGGCAAAACGAGCCTCCGGGAAAAGTGCCCATGCAGCCCCCAATGAGCTCCATGAAGCCCGGCCTCTCGCACGGGTCAGTATTCGCACCGCTGTGACTTTAAGCTTATGTGTGTGTTGGGGAACACGTTCACAGGCTCTGGGGAAAGCCCTTCATCAGCCTTGTGTTCCTTATGGATTGATGGCTGACAGTTTGCCAATCTAACTGTTTGTAGCCTGCTCAACAGGGACAAAACAGTACCTGGTTAATACTTACCCCACAGTAATTATAACAAAGAAACAAACAAAACAACTTTTCCTGATGATTCAGCACATTTGTACAATTTTACTATTATGCATGCACATATTTGTGCAGTGACACATGGCACTTTATTCTAAATGGTGACAGAATATGACAAAAGTGACTGAAGGACAAAAATGTAGACAATGCACAGACATGCTGACAATAAGAGTTAATTTTTAATTAAGAAAAATGTAATGAAGTAATAAAGTCACAAAGTAGTGTTTTATTTTGGGGATTAAGTATGTGGACACACGTAGAGATGTTTGAATAGGAGGCAGTGTTGTATATCTGTGTTATGTTGTCTGGACAAGTTTGTGGGAGTAGTCAAAAAATCTTAATAATGAAGAGAGCATTAATGTCGTTATCAGGACTATAACAGTGATGGATATATATCATATTTTATGCATATTTAGTTTGCTTACATGTTGTATTTTATATGACCCCTGCAGAGATGGATCTTTTCCCTACGACTCTGTTCCCTGGCAACAGAACACCAATCAGCCTCCAGGTTCTTTGTCCGTGGTGACGACGGTCTGGGGTGTCACCAACACGTCACAGAGCCAGGTGAGATCTCATACGTGTTCATAGAAGTTCTGACATGATGGTGCATGTTATCTTTTTTTTTCTTCTTTTTTTTAAAGGGTCTGTTGTCAGACTTAGGTTTTAATGGATTCATGTCATCAAACGTGTTCTGATTTTTCTCGATCTGTATGTCTTGGTCCGACAGGTGTTGGCGAATCACATGGCCAACAACAACAATCCAATGAATCCAGGGGGCAACCCGATGGGCTCGGGTATGTCGGGCAACAATCCCGGGATGAACTCTCCTCAGTTCCCCGGTCCTCAGCAGCAGTTTCCAAACAAAGGCAACGGAAACCAGGGCTACATGCAGCAAGGCATGTACGGACGACCCAACTACCCCGGAGGAGGAGGCTTTGGTGGCAAGTAAGTGGAAAAGTTCAATAATTAAAATGTACTCAAAAAATGAACTCTGACAATCAGTTGAAGTAATCGCGACCCCTTTGTGGCAGTTACCCCGGAGGACCAACACTGGCCCTGGAGGAATGGGCATCCCCCCTCACTCGCGTCAAACATCGGACTTCAGCCAGCCTGCTGCTGCTGCCGCTGCCGCCGCAGTCGCTGCTGCTGCAGCCACAGCGACTGCCACTGCCACAGCCACCGTAGCCGCCCTGCAGGAAACCCAAAACAAGGACATGAACCAATACGGACCGGTACGACAACGTGCACATGTGGAAGTATCTGTGTGTTATAGAATGTGTTCATACATTAAATGGATTAAATAGGTTATCGCAAATTGCTCAGCACTTTAAAGTCAGTTTTACACTCACTGATTTTGCCTTTCAATACTTAAAATAGCAGCAGAACATTAAGCTCAGAGGGCATTAAGGCATTTTGTTGAACAAGGCTTAATCAATGTTAAGTGTGAATAATTAGCCAAATGTAATGGAGTCAAATACCACGTTTAGCTCTAACAAAAGCTAAAAAAAAGGAGGATATATCTTGTAGAGGTTAGAACAGTTTTCCCTTTTGTACTTTTTTCAGGATGTCTGATAGACTATTCCCTAAAGCTAATCATCTTTTTTTCTTCTTCTTCCAGTTGAGTTCCTCTTTTCAGATGGGACCAAACCAGGCGTACAACAGCCAGTTCATGAACCAGCCAGGACCCCGTGGCCCTCCGTCCCTCCCCGGGAACATGGGCGCAGGCATGAATCCGTCAAACATAAGCGGGCCTCCGATGGGAATGAACCAGCCCAGGGGCCAAGGTATGGGACCTTTCGGAGCCCATGGCCAAAGAATGCCCCAGCAAGGCTATGCAGGACCCCGTCCTCAAGGCATGGGTATGCAGGGCATGAAAAGACCATACCCAGGGGAGGTGAGTAGATGTGAATTCAACACCTTGACTTTCAAGTTCAAGCCTATATGTTGAATCTAACTCATCTCTGCTTTCACAGCCAAACTATGGTGGGCAGCAGTATGGACCAAACAACCAATTCCCTAACCAGCAGGGGCAGTACCCAACGCCCAACGCCTCCAGGCCGCTGCCATCCCCCAACTACCCCGGCCAGAGGATGCCTGGACAGCAGCTGCCGGGACAATACCCACCACCCAGCGGTGCCATGGGACAGTTCTATAAGGTGCGGTATTACTTCTATTTAGCGAACGTTTAATGATTATTTTGAGTTTGTTCTACCAAAAGTGTTTCTATATTAAGGTGTCTGCAGCTTTTTTGGTTTGAATCATATAGAATGTGTGTTCTCAAATTACAGCAAGAGCCCCCCTTTAACGGCCAAACAAATAACTTCTCTGGTAGTGGATATCAGTACAGCCAGGGGAACATGAATGGGGTAAGTCCATCTCATTTAATTCTACCTCATGATTACAATCTTTGTTGTGCGGTTTATAGCCCTGTAAACATTTGATTCAATTATTGATTTTTTTAAATTTAGCCACCCAGACCTGTGGGAAACTACCCTCACTCCCCAGTGCCAGGCAACCCCACCCCTCCAATGACCCCAGGAAGTAACATCCCTCCGTACCTGTCACCAAACCAGGACGTGAAGCCCCCCTTCCCCCCCGACATCAAACCAAATATCACCGCTCTCCCTCCTCCTCCAGGTCAGTAACTGGAAGAATCTTTAACAGTGATTTTGTTCATTTAAAAAAAAAAAATCACAAGAGTCTGATTTGGTTCTTCTTCAACCGTATAGCTAACCACAACGAGGAGCTGCGTCTGACGTTCCCTGTGCGGGACGGAGTTGTCCTAGAGCCCTTCAGGCTAGAGCATAACCTGGCTGTCAGCAACCACGTGTTCCACTTACGGCCCTCTGTGCACCAGACGCTCATGTGGAGGTAATTCAATCATGTTTGGACTGTTTTTTCTCAAGTGGGATCGTTATGATTATTTTTTCTTTTCTGTTTTTGCAACGATTTCCTCTTGACAATTTTAATCTTGGACTCTTTGGTCTGTGGAAAGGCATTTGATAGAGTATCAACATTACAGTTAGGGGTAGGGGTAGGGGTATGGGTATGGATATGGTTTGAAGTTTATGTATAGGTGCTAGACCCAGCTTTTCAGATTTTTTTTTCTGTTTCATTAGTTGTTCCTTTTGGCCTCTCAGATTTTTTTGATTCTGAGTCAAAAGGAAAATTAAGCTTCACATAAGAATTGTGTAGTCGGGCACCAATGGGCTTTCTTCTTTTCCTCAAAACCTTTGGCATGCAGATTGAAAAAAGTCGAGCAGACATACTGTCTGCAGCTAGAAGAAAAAATCAATAATTACTTTTCCCAGCTCACTTGGAGAAGGACACTCTAGCCATCTTTTTATCGAATACAGATCATTTGTAAACCCTTTATTCCACTCTACAGAGAAGGCCGGTCAGGTTTATTAAGACTTTTAAAATGAACATAGTTTAAAAACAAATTTAAATATTGTCCGTGCAGATCAGACCTGGAGCTGCAGTTCAAGTGTTACCACCATGAAGACCGACAGATGAACACCAACTGGCCTGCGTCGGTACAAGTCAGCGTGAACGCCACACCGCTCACCATCGAGCGGGGCGACAATAAGACCTCCCACAAACCCCTGCACTTGAAACATGTCTGCCAGCCAGGGAGGAACACGATCCAGATCACTGTCACTGCCTGCTGCTGTGTGAGTACAAGACAACACACAACACAACGGTATAAATGTCTACAATGTAAAAAAAATCCTTTAGATGATATTTAATGTCTACGCTCTGACCAATGTGAGTTAATAGGTCTATCAGGTTTAATAACAGTGATGTTCTCCTCCTACAGTCCCACTTGTTTGTGCTGCAGCTGGTCCACAGGCCCTCAGTCCGCTCAGTGCTCCAGGGCTTACTGAAAAAGCGTCTTCTACCTGCAGAGCACTGCATAACCAAAGGTACAGGAAAAACCGCCATTTAGCCCCCTAATGTCTTCATCACTGTCAGAGTCCTTGCAAACACACTGACTTTTCTCCTTCTGCCTCAAAGTTAAGAGGAACTTCAGCAGCGTAGCAGCATCATCGGGCAACACGACGCTCAGCGGAGAGGACGGCGTGGAGCAGACGGCCATCAAGGTTTCCCTCAAATGTCCGATCACCTTCAGGCGAATACAACTTCCAGCAAGAGGTCATGACTGCAAACACGTTCAGGTTAGCACAACAAGTCATTCACTGAGAGTCATTAAAAGAAGAAGACAAATTTCAATGTTATGTACTGGATAGTAGATGTGATTTTTTTTTTCCCCATTACTCTTTCAGTGTTTTGATTTGGAATCATATTTACAATTGAACTGTGAGCGGGGAACATGGCGATGTCCTGTATGCAAGTAAGTTTATCTAATTTAAATACATTGCCATATTCACCATGTCAATAGATTTGACTGTAATCTATGTGAGAAGCTTTCTAAGCGCCTTTCTCTCTACCCTCCTCAGTAAAACAGCGTTGTTAGAGGGACTGGAAGTGGACCAGTACATGTGGGGAATCTTAAATGCAATTCAAAAGTAAGTCTAAGTAAGAAACAAACCTGCTTTCAGTGTATTTCTCTTTATTTCCTTGTGTCATAATGAGTGATTTCATCTGCATCCCGCCAGCTCGGAGTTTGAGGAGGTGACCATCGACCCGACGTGTAGTTGGCGACCGGTGGCTATCAAATCTGAAATCCATATAAAGGAGGATCCAGATGGACCGCTCGCCAAGAGGTTTAAAACGATGAGTCCCAGCCAAATGATCATGCCCAATGTGATGGAGATGATAGCTCAGCTCGGCCCCGGACCCTCGCCGTACCCGTTACTACAATCTCAGCAAGGGGGCAACAACAACGAATATGGCAGCGGAGGTAGGAAAAAAAAACATGCTATGCTTTGACACAGAGATAAACATCTCTTAATGCTTTGTTGTCAAACTGCAACATCAGCGGAAAATAACTGAACGAAATGTACTCATGTTTTTTTGTTTATATTTTCTGTGCTAGGCAACAGTTACCAGGGGCACGGGAACTTCGATTTCCCTCATGGGACTCCTGGTGGTACGTCGATGAATGATTTTATGCACGGCCCCCAGCTGTCTCACCCACCTGACATGCCCAACAGCCTGATGACCCAAGATAAGCCCCTCTCCCACAACATGCCTGACTCAGTGAGTTCCTTTGTGTTAACTTTACAATGATGAATTGACACTAACTTCATTTTTTACAGTACTGCCATCAAGAAGTGTCAAACTTCTCATATTATTCTTACCAAAAGATGACGTCTTGGGGCGCCTGGGAGCCTAGCAGTTACGTCTGGCGCCCCATGTACAGAGGCTGAAGCCGTCCGACCTCGGCCAAGTGCTGCATGTCATCCCCCACGCTCTCCTCCCAGTGTTTCATGTCTCTCTTCAGCTGCCCTGTCTATTAAAGACAAAAAAGGGCCCCGAAAAAATGAAATTTAATTTCATCATGAAATTAAAGTGTTGAAATATTCCTTTAAAATAAAGAAAAGTTATTATATGTTATAACAGTTAAAATAAGCCAGTGATATGACTAATAAATCCCTTAATCTTTTCCATCTTATTCCATCAATATAACATTATTTAAAATGTGTTGCCCCCCCCCCGACAGATACCTCACTCTGCCGGCAATGACCAGTCACACGGTCCATTGCAGCAGAGCTTACACGCTTCTCCACACCCTGGGAGCCAATCAGGGCAGCAGCTACACCACAGCGGGCCTCCTCAGCCGCAACGACAAGCTCCACCTCCTCAGCAACAACAGCAGCAGCAGCAGCAGCAACAACAACATCAACAACAACAGCAGCAGCAGCAGCAGCAGCAGCAGCAACAGCATCCTGGTCCTAACAACCATCCCCACAGCGACCTCGCCTTCAACCCTTCGAGCAGTTTGGACAGCCAAGCGGGGTCGGACATGCCGGAGCCATCTCTAGACGTGAGTCCTGATTCACAGCTGTAGCTTTCAAAGCTAGGTTGGATCATCTGTGTTTACTTGATTGCTTTATTAAATTGTCTTTCTTTTTTTTCGTTTCTTTTCTCAGCTTCTTCCAGAGCTTGCGAACCCAGACGAGCTGCTGTCGTACCTAGACCCACCGGACCTCCCCAGCAATAGCAACGACGACCTTTTATCACTTTTCGAAAACAACTGAGGCAATTCAGACACATGAACTTCTCTGACTGCCTGCAGTTTCAGTACTTGACAAACACAAAGATGCACTCCCTTTCTCTTCTTCCTCGTGTACAGTTTTCATCGGCCAGCGCAGATTGACTGAAAGAGGTTTAAAACTCAAAGACACGACAGGATCCTTCATGGTGATACTTGTGCTCTGTGCAGCTATACTCAGTTGTTTGTTTGTTTGTTTTTTTACACACAGGTGTTTGTGTGCACATAAGTTACATGTTGTAGCATTTTTTATTCATTTTTTTTTGTTTCCTTTTGAAAAGAAAAAGGAATTCACTGTATAAGAAAATCAGAGAAAAAAACAAAAAACCCTGCGCTATCTGGCCAGTGTGCACTCTGTCCAATGTTGTTATTCCGAACTGAGAGGCAACAACTCACTGGTGTCTCAGCTTCATTCCCTGACTGCTCTGGTTAGTCGCACTGTCGTTTGTCCACCACACATCATTTAAAAGCACAAGAGATTTTGGCAATGCAAAAAAAAAACAAAAAAAAAAACACCACATACACCAGGAAACTGTTTTACGACGAAAAAAAAAGAATTTAAAAAGTATATATCTGTCCTTAATGAAATGTTTTTTTACAGACATTTTGGCATTTAAAAAAAAAAACATTTTTGGGAAAGATTGGCTTCCACTTTTTCCACAATTTGATACAAACGTATTTTTGACAGAAAAAGCGATTTCCCTAAAGGCTGTCAAAACACAACAGGGAAGATTTTGGCCCCCATTTAAAAGAAGAACGTTTTTATTGCATACCTGCACTTCCAACATGTTGTATAGTTATCATCCTCGGGCACAGAGGAGTGATTATAACGAAAATGAGAGGTACAGAATGAAAGATTGGACCCTGCTGCATTTACTGCTTCCTGCTACGACTCCTTCCAATGCCGCCTGCGTTTCTGCAACGTTGCATCTCTCTCCCTGTTAAATGATGTGCTGTTTTAACTAGTCTACAAAGTGCATGTGTGCCAAGCCCTTGTCTAGTGCTGTTGCAAGTGGTTAAAAAAAAGATAGTGTAGTTTTTTTTATCAGTTGCTGTTTCCATTGCTATTTTTTTTGTTTGTACATTTTTGTTTTGGATTTTTGTTGTCCGATTTATTTAACACTAACATTGAAGGGATAATGCTGATATCAGCGATACATTTCTCATGTATTTTCTTGATATACTGTGTTTTGTTTGTGTTGTTGTTGTTGTTGTTTTGTTTTTTTTCTGTTGCTGCATAATTCAACTATCCGTAATTCTTTTGGGAAACTGCTCAACATCACCAAAGTAATAAGGAGGAGTGTGGAGATGTCTGTCTTTGCTTGGTCTTGCGTGAAAGTGAGTGTAAGTGTGTGTGTGTGCGTGCGTGCGTGTGTGTGTGTGTGTGTGTGTTTGGTGATATGGATTTTAAAGATATAGGGGGAGGTCAAATACAGTTTATCCATCACTGCTGTTCAAAAAGAAGTGGTTTTTAGAGCAGTATTGGTGCAGACTTTTGCCACGTTTGTTTTTCGATTTCACTTTTTGAGAAGAGTGCTGTTCAGTATGCAAATGTATTATTTTTTATGAAATGCCTATTGTACTGTAAATATCATTGTGAATATTTTTGTATCATCTTGATAATGTTTGTCCTTTGATCATCAGTCGTCCGACTTAACCCGCCATGTTACGCTCCCAAAAAAAAAAAAAAAAAAAAAAAATACAACTACCATCTAACCACTGACTTTGTTTGTAACCAGAACGTCTCATAAGCTATTTCCTGCAGGTCGTAGTGCTTTCTCATCACTTTCCTTCCAGTGCACTCCGTCTCCCACCTGTCGTTTTCAGACAGGTGTTGCAATTTTATATTCCCAACCCCCTAAAACCCACTTCCTGTATCAGCTCAAGGGGATCGTGTCGCATCTTTTTATTTTTTATTTGTTTTTCAGTTTTTAAGCAATACTTTCTTTCACGCTCAAATGTATCTGATTGAAAAGGAATCCATGTTGGCTTCTTATGTAAACATTTTATCAGTGATGGTTTTTCAAAATAAGACGTGGTATCAGCTGGCTATCAGTGTAATTATTGAGCTATGTGAATATCATAATTGTTGCTAAATGTCAATACACAGTGGTATTTTAAAGATATATCACAACCATATTTTAAAGAAGTCCATGATATTGTTTATATTTTTGTTATAGAAAATGTTCAAAGCACGAGACCATATGCGTTTTTGTCCCTTTTTTTTTTTTTTTTGGTAAATTATTTTGTACTGGTTTTTCTTATTAATCTGTAAGGCTAGAAATCCAATTTCTTTCGACTGTATGTAGCATTGTGCTAATTTAACCACCATGGTTTTCTGTAAAAAAAAAATTGTTTTAAACATACATGAAAAAATATGATTTGTTCCAGTTCAGCTCACTGACATGTTGTTTCATATTTATGTCACAAAGAGACATCAATTCAAATCATCCCTCTTCTAACAACACACTGCCACATTTAATTTTTTTCTCCAACGATTTCATCGATCCAGTGTAAGTCATCGTCATTTCATATTTTTATTTTATGTCTAAGGCAGCACCCCAAATCTTCAGATGCACAATCACAGTAAAGGGGCATTTCTGCAGGGGAAGATGTATTCAGAAAAGAAACCTAAAAAGATACAGAGAGCGAGGCTGCGTTCAGGGTCGAGGCTAGATCAAACGTCCCATGGATGCCTGTATATATGTAAATGAAAATAGAGACATGTGAACAGAAATGTATTCATTTTCCCTGGGAATGTGCATTGTTTCTTTAGAATAATAAAAAAAAGCTTGCAACCCCTCTACTGGAAGTGGCTGAATATGGAAACTGAAACTTGTTAGTTTGTGTCTGTGGGTATCTCTCCGCGTTTTGTCCCCCCCCCCCCCTTCTGTAATATACTTTCACCTCTTTCTTTAGGGGAACTGGGACAGTTATGTTTTTACATGTAATATTTAGCTTAAGTGTTCTAGTCTGTCACCTGCATACTCTGAGGTGCTAAAGCTAAAAAAAAAAAAAAAAAAAAAGAGGACAAAAAAAGTGCAAGGTTACAAAGAAAACCATATGAAGGGTTGGGATTAAAGAGGCCGGAGGGGGGCGGGTCCAGAAGATTGTAACCGAATCCATAGTTTGTACAACTTTTGATATCATGAACAGTTGGAAAAAGGAAACAATCTAAGGTGATTCATGCAATGTGGCCATTGTCTTTATTGTGTACATTGTATGTACAATCATTTCATATTCTAAACTGGTCAGAAAATAAAGGAACTAATTGTGATTTTTAGTCTTGCAGAATTGTATGTAGTTAGATGATGTGACAACCTAATATTTATCTAATAAATATGTATTCAGATGATACCTGTATGTCGCTGTCATCTCGTCTTTTGTGCGCTTGGCATCAAAGTTATGAACAGTAGTCCTTCTCACTTCTCACGACGGCTGAGTATTCAAGCGGAAGGTGCAAATTACATTTTCACGATGAAGCTCAAGGTCAGCGTGACAATATGCGGAAATGCGTTGAGTTCATATTAATCAACACAACACAAAGAGGGAGACGAGGTTTGCAAAGCCGGTCGTGGGAATGACACTTGAGGAGTTGAGAAGTTATTTTGCAATCTGTAAGACTGATGTGAGAAAATTAAAGGTAGAGATTAAAACGGTGTTACTCCTGGAAGACAGAAACAGAATTAGAAGTGCCAAACTTGAAGGACCACATATGACATATTTGTGCTTTTTTTTTTTTTTTTTTTCCTTTTAATATTAAAACAAATTAGTTGTTGTATTTTTCAATACCTTTCATGTGATGTGAAGTGTCTTCAAAACAATCATAGAAATACGCACGCCAAGAAATGAGATTTACCTTTTTATATTACATAGACTTTTTAGACATCAGACTTTTCTTTCTATTTTTCTACATATTGACTATTAACAATTTATACTTTTTTCAATATCATTCATGTCATGTGACCTAAAAAATCAATCTTAGATATTATATATAAGTATATTATAACTCATTTCAACAACAACAAAAAAAAAGATTCACACCTCATTATAGACCCTACGTCACTTTTGAGGCTTTTATTTTGACAGTTCCCCGGAAATCACATGTTTCCCTTTTGTTTTGACCTGACGCGGAATAATACGGAAGTAAACCGTCGACTACGACCACCGCATCCTGCACCATGTAAAAAAAAGCCTGTTGTGAAAAGCCGTGTTTTTAAAAGCGGCACTTCGGCGGCTCATGGCAGCAGGCGAGTCTGCGGGTGGTGTCGGGCGGGTTCCGGTCTGCCTGTGTGTCCTCTGCGGGCTGCCTGCTGCTGGCAAGTCCACGCTGGCCCGCAGGCTCCCCAGCACCGCAGCGCAACACGGATGGAAAGTCTGCGTGGTGCCGTACGATGACTTGATCCCCGAGCGTGCCTTTCAAAACAGAGGGGAGGAGGACGGTGTCGACTTTCACGACATGGTGAACAAGTTTGTGTTAAATTGACGGATTTTCAATGCAGGTTCAGCATTTCATCAGACGGAGATAACTGGGAACATTGCACAAAGAGAATTATTCCAAACAGACTATTATCTAACTGTGCAAACTACCAGCATAATCTAAGTCATAGTGGGAGCTACAATAAGTTCCTTGTGTTTCAGGCTATCTTAGATATTGCGTTTAAGATTTGCACCAATATTATATTATTAGGGTATCAAAAGGAGATGATAGCCTACATTACACTGACTGTCTGCACCCATTCGTTTTTACATTTGGATACAGTTTTATATATTTTAAAACAATGTATAGTTTCCATGGTTTTATTTTCTATTATATTAACACAACAAATGTCAACTTAGGCTCATAAAGCAATGGGGACATTATTCGCATCCTCCTTGTTAATAAGCATGCTGCGGTTGGGGTTTATGTTGATATGAGAATTTCATTTGTCCACTTCTAGCACACCAAATGGAAGTCCCACAGACAGGCAGTACTGCGATGCATCGAGCAGTTCTTGGAGGAGCCTCAAGATTTAACAGAACTTCCAAGCAGCTGCCAGATCAGCAGAGCTGCGTGGGAACAGTGCATCGAAGCTCTGCAGCAGCAGCCGCCTTATGATCACGACCAGGCACCGCTTCTCTTTCTGCTGGATGACAACTTCTACTATCCAAGCATGAGATATGAAGTTTACCAACTTGCAAGACAGCGTAAGCAACACTGAAATGTTCTTGGTAGACTTGAGGGAGAGGTTGTGCATGTTTTAGACCGCTGACTGAGTGTTTTAAACTTCACATGTCTTCTTAAAGTAACAAATGCTGTTTAGTTTTTAAATCTGGAAAATCTGAAGCCTCCTGCAGGCAACTGAATGCACCACAGACTTCTACAAGTTTAATTGCAACTTAACATTTAATGTGATGATTTACTGATGTCTTAAGACTCTGGTAATCTGTCCGTTGTCTTTTCAGGCTCGCTCGGTTTCTGTCAGGTCTATCTGCAGTGTGATTTGGAGTCATGCATCAGCAGGAACCAGAGCAGGTCTAAACCTGTTCCCACCGAGGTGATCGTGGAGATGGTGAAGCGTTTGGAGCCTCCGAATGTACAGAAGAACTCGTGGGAGAAAAACAGCATTTCACTCAGCACCACAGACAACTTGCCTGACAGAGACGTGTAAGAATCAGCCGTTGATGAACGCTTACTCGAAACTTTGTGATAGTAGGTATTCATTAGTTTCTCTTCCTGTATGCCTTGCTCCCTCAGACAGAGGGTGATGGAGTTGATCGCCTCTGCAATGAGCAACCCACTGTTCCCTGTTGAGGACAACACAGAGCAAACGGTGTGTGAATGTAATGTAGCTCCCATCCAACCTTTTAAAATGTGTTTATATAAGCATGTATGAAATGTGCTGTGGTCTCATGCTGTTGCAGGAGGCAGACCGCCTCAGATGTGCCACCAGTGTGGTTCACCAAGCTGACCAGGCCTGTCGCCGCCTCATCTCTGACGCCATGAAGACAGCCAGAGGTCAGCTATATCACTGAACAATTCACTTCTTTTTTGCAGCCCCTTTGTTGATCGATCATTCTCTCAAACTTGCCTTTAGGAAATCAAGTTCCTCCAGGGCACATGAAGTGTTTGGCCGCTCAGCTGAATGAATCCAAAGCCGCGTTTCTCCTCAACCTGCGCAGACAGATGCTTCAGGAGGCGACCTTCATACGGGAGGAGGACATGGACGTGGAACGTGTGGTGAAAAGAGCGGTGGACGTTTTTGATCATGAGAGGAAGGAAGTCCTCTCTCAGATCATAACTGGAATAAAATGACTAAACTGTGACTTTACACAAAGTAAGATTGAATCACGTCAGGGGTCGCGAGTGAATGCGAGATATTTTTTTATTAAATTAAAATCAACCTATTTTTTGTTGGTCACTTCTTTTTAGGTTTGTGGACACGTGGCAATAAGTGGATCAAATGGAATCTTTTTATTTTATAAATTAAGCCTTGTTGCTACTTTTTAAAAGCCAAACTGGCCTTTAAAACGTATTCAAACTCAACATTAGTGCATCTCTGCATGATAGCTGCAAAAGTTGTAGGATAACATTTGTCCATCAGTATTCACATGATTTACTTAAAACTTGAAAGCGGGGAGCCCTTTATTCCACATTTCCCTCTACCCATGACAAGAAAAAACACAAACAAACAAGTAATAGCAAATAAGTAACGGAATTGTAGCGGTCTTAAAAATCGACACAATTAAACAACTTAAATTAAAGGGAAAACTCCTCTCACAGTGTCTGTACAAAAACAAAGTGGTAATAGTAACATCACTAAAACTGCTCATGGTCATGTATAAGTTATTATAGAAGACCGTTTCATGTGTACAAACTAGAAACAAGAGGGAAATTGGAGCGCGGAAGCCTAGTGGTTATTGCACGCCACATGTACGGCGGCTATGTGCTGCATTCATGTGCTCCTTGGAGGTCCCAGTTTCCGACTTCAGTGTGTTCACATGATTTCAGTTTTGAAAGTTGGAATGCTATAACAACTTCTAAACAAAGTGTGGATGGTACAAAGATGTGTGAATGTTTTCTAGCAAAAGTTTATGTGCAATACATGAATTCATGAAAAAGTATCTTAACATTAACAAAACAGATTTTGCCGCCCCCATGTGATGACGAATATGTCGGCAAGTTGGACACTTCATTTTTTCCCCAGAGTTTCCGAGTTGTTGTTCCGACTTGAGCTGGGGAACTCGTTTTCCCGGTGTGTCCGGATACCACATGAATGCAGCTTTAATCCTCCAAGCGGGCGTTCCCAGGTTAAAAAAATCCGACCTTTGGCTCCCCTCCCTGCTTTTCATTCCCCACTCTCTCTCTGACTCTATCCACTGTCCTAGCTCTACATTAAAAGGCATAAAAAGCCCCCAAATAAACCTTTAAAAAAAAAAAAACATTTAAAAAAATTAAGGCTTCACATTTTAGTAGAAATCCTCTGCACTTTATGGAGTGAGGTATAAATAAATATCGAGACAAGAATTACAAGGAGGCTTCATGACATAGACACAATGTTGTCTTGAACACAGAATCAGCTGCCAGTCTTTGAACATCCCATTTAAGAGTCTAACAGAGAAAGGCTTTGAATAAACCAGTGATGGACAGTTTAAGAATGTGGACAAAAAGAACATTATTATCTGCTGCACAATGAATGCAGAGCGTGTGAAGCTCATGATGTCTGCCACGGAACACTTTGCATTCTCCCTTTATTTGAGATGTCTCGCATACAAGCCGCTTACTAACAATGACTCACTGTAAGAGTCGAGTTTACTCTGTTGACCTGCTGATACCGAGAGAAAAAAAAAACTAAATCCCTCCCCCAAAACATATCACATCATAAATATGCAACATCATGTGTGCATATTAAAATCACATCATATCATGCACCTGCATTGGCAAAGTAGGTTAACGATCAAACAGCCCTCACTAATACTGAATGTAGGACAACACTTTGTGGGCTTCAATCAGTATTTTCCCGACTGATGTAAAGCAGGATGGTGTATGGATCAATCATAACTCATATGAAAAGCACAAAGGTTGGGAGCCATAGAGAAGGTTGTGAGGCAACAATGTATTGCAGTTAATGAGTATCAAACAAAAAAATAAATAAGAAACTATCAAAAAAAGTAAAAAATCTAAATCAGCACAACTATTTTAATGCTGTACAAGCACCATACAAAAGTATCTAAGACACCCGGTGCATCTGTGCTGCAAGGAATCACTTTTTGTGTTGTCCACGGGCGAAATGACAAGCAAAGTCGTATCTGTCTGTGCACATGTGGCCACAGATGTTGCACTGAAATGGATGCTCATAGCCGTGGCAGCCCATGTGAATGGTGTAGAGTATGTTATCCAGAAAGTGAATATCACAGTGGCGGCATTTCTGTGGCAGCTGTTGTTCCGCTGCGGTCTGCGCAGGGAGGGCGGGCGTGCCCGGCAGGCTGCTGCTTGCACTCGCAGTCAGAGTGTTCATGCTGCTTTCAAAGCCCAGGGCGGGAACAGGACTGAAGCTCCCGTGGCCCGAGGTGGGAGACTCTTTGTTAGGAGGTGAAGTCTGGACTCCGTTGGAACACATCGCAACATGTTCATTCGAGATCTGATGTATGAGGATGGGCTTCTCTTCTATTAAGGACTCTCTGTCTGGGGACGCAGGAGTTTGAGGTTCAGGGTGAAGGTCTGCCAGCTGGCCTGCAAGTGTAGACAACTGGTCCAGCGGGTTGTTAAAAGTCAGACCATTAGAACTTCTGATGAGGCCGTCGTTCTCATCGCCTTGTCATGGTTCTTATACTCAGCACTGTTCAAATGGTGGTGGATCTTATGAGGAAAATCGCTCAGGTAATCCGACTTTGGCATCATCAAAGAGGGAGGGTTGTAGTTGATGAGCAGCCGCCTGCTAAAGCCCAGTGAGCCGGTCCTCTTTTGCAGGGAGCTCAACATGCGTTTGTTGGAGAAGGAAGAGCGGACAACTCGGTTGGGGAGGAGTTTGTGGCGACGGCGGCGGTGGTGCGACAGGTTGCTGCGGTCGCTACAGCGGAAGGCGCAGAGGTCACACTTGTATGGTTTCTCTCCCGTGTGGGAGCGCATGTGGGCTTCAAGGTGTCGCTCGTACGCTGAAGCAAACGGGCAGAGCTGGCAGCGGTGAGGCTTTTCTCCTGAGTGAAAAGAGGGCAAAGATGCAATTACATTATTAATATGACAAAGTATGAAAAAAAAAAAAACAGCATTTATGAATTTTGATCATTTTGATCGTTTCAATATTACTGGGGGGTTTTTGTCTTTAATTTCTACATAATACCTGCGGTGACCAAACATGCCAAATTTGATGAATGATGTTCTGTGTTCAATCTTGACTTGAAATATTTTCAAACAATCTTTAACTTTGTGCAGAACAGAATTGAACTGAATTTGCATTTGGTCTGCAAATGTTCACCTCTTTAATTAACCTCACTTTGAGAGTGAAATGCTAATAAACAACAGTATGTCTTGTTTTTAAAAAAATCCTGAGTAACTTCAGTTTGGGTCAATTTTGGCGCCCCCCTGTGGACAAAGAGGTACCTCAACTATTTGCTAAAATTGCCCTCTATATGAGATGACATTCAACTTTATTGTCATTACACATATACAAGTATAGAGTAGCAAAATGAGGTTTGGCATCTCACCAGAAGCGCAATAAGCAGAAAGTGCAAGAATCTGTGCTATGTACAGTAATTACAAAATGTACAGATGTAGACAAAAAAAGTGAATTATTGGGTATTTATGGCTGGATTAATGGGATGCTATAAATATAAATAAATGCTATAAATATAAGTATATTCTTAGGATTATAATATACAGATTAAGGTGCAGTGAGCATGCTATACTACGTTACAGATATAGCGGGATGGGCAACTTTAGTCACAGCAAGGGCCACATTCATTTAATTCTCACTGTCAGAAGGCCATATGGTAGAATACAAAAACGATTACAGTCAATTATGTGTCAAATTTATCTCAACATATACCAGTGATCAAATATTATTATGGACATAGTTCTGGTTTTCACTATTTCATGGCAGATTTTGTCATCTTTTCTTCATGTCAAAATTGACCTGAGGGCCACATTGAGGGTTGATAGGGGCCGCATGTGGCCCCCGGGCCGCCAGTTGCCCACCCCTGATATAGAGTATATATATATTTGCAAGCTGTGTTTTGCTTTCTGACAAATATCCTTCTGAATGTATCACTTACAGTAAACCTTTGTTGTGGAAAGTGTAAACAAAATCTGTTTCTCATCTGACTCCTACCCCGCAGCAAAAAAATAACTTAATAGAGATATAACTCTTCTCCCTGATGGATAAAAGCTTTTTGCAGAAGCTGTAATGTGTGAAAGAATGCAGAGGAGACACTGACCCGTGTGGATGCGGATGTGCTCTATTAACCGAGCCATGCCCTTGTTGGCATAATTACAGTAGCTGCACTTGTATTTCCCATCGCAGGTCCTCTCCAGGCCGTCCATCTGTACATCTGGTCCATCCTCTACCGGCAGGTTCACCTCCACAGGCGCAGAGTCGAGACCAATCTGCTCGCTCCGGGGGGCAACTGAAACCAAAACACACATTATTTTTGATTGACTGATTGATTGATTGATTGAATTCATTTCAGACATCTCAAATAAAATCAAACATATAAAAAATACAAAGCAAAATGAAAAGCACAAAAATACAATAAACAATAAACAATGTTCAAATTATAATAAAGAAAAAAGCAAATTACATATATTCAGTTGATATGCCTGAAAAGGAGTAGGAAGAAGTATAAAACTTATTTAATCCTACCCTTTTCCACAGCTCAATAATTAACATTTATCAAATTAAATTCCTGTGTTCCTTATAATCTCTCTATATATATACAATCTACATAATACACAATTTGCTACACTATATTTATGATACTATATTTGATATTTACAATCCAATGATTTTCCATACATATACACAACTTGATATACTATTGTTTTTCTTAATAGCTCAATTGGAGTATTTTTTTGTATTGTCCGTTTAGTTTATTTTATTGGATTTTGCATTTGTTAATGGTGAAGAATGGGCGTTGACAAGCCTAAGCCTCCCTATCCCTTTTCGAACGAGTCAAATGTGTATTATATTGAAATTGGCTTTTTTATTTTTTTCTCATTTGTTTATTAATTTTCATCTATTTTTTGGGAAAGGTTTTATAATAATGCAGACATTTGTTATATTTTCTGTTGTTAATTTAAAGTAGTGATTTCAGATGGGACTTTAATTCTAGATTAAAAATTTATTAAATTAATCCACGCTCGTTTGTTTTCATTTGGAGGCGCACGTGACGTAATTTCGCACAGCATTGTGGGTGGTAAAATACAATTCATTTCCTGAAAGCACGCATCCGATCCATACTGCATGAAACGCGGAAGTTAGTATCCATACTGAAATGTTCAGTATACTGAGGTGGAGCCAAAAAATGCACACTGAATGACCACGAAAGTTCAGTATACTGAAACTCCATACTGAATAGTACGTACTGCATACTGAACTGTGACAATTCGGAAAGGGCCCGCGTCCGCCTCCAAATGAAAACAAACGAGCGTGGATTAATTGAATCAATTTCTAATCTAGAGTTAAAGTGCCGACTGAAATCACTACTTTTAATTAACAACAGAAAATAAAACAAATGTCTGCATTATTATAAAACCTTTCCCCCCTCTATTTAAATAATGATTTAACTATTTAAATGCGTCTTTATTGGTTTATTTTATATTCTGTATATTACTGTCTTTCATTTGTACTTTTCTTTATGTACTGTATGTTATTTTGCTATTTAATCTGCCTTTTACTTGATTTACATTTACAATTATCTGCCTACTGTGTGTGCATACTGAATAGTAGGTACTAACAGTATGCAGCACGGATAATACGTACTGCCTACTGAAAGATTTAGTATGTACTTGGCCACACACACACACACACACACACACACACACACACACACACACACACACACACACACACACACACACACAACACACACACACACACACACACACACACACACACACACACACACACACACACACACACACACACACACACATAGATTTGGTGACGTAGTAATTCACTCCTACGTCACACTCCACACAGCCGTTCAGAGTTTTTCAAACAGAAGGGCATTTCTAACACAATGTTTCAAATGTCAACACTTTGTACTCAAATGTCGAGATTGGGACTTGGATTGATCCGTAACACTACTTAATACTCAAATACAGAGGTTTATAGTTGAACAAAAAAAAAAAAGAAGTGGTTTAAGGGTTTAGTTTGTGCACTGAATTAACAATAACCTTGCACACCTGCTTGGTACGGCGGCTCGCCTGCCTCTCCGCACACAGAGCCTGAAATCATGTTGACGTGCTGCGTTTGCTGCGTCAGGTATTCTTGAAACTCCCTCACAAAATCCACAGGCTCGGTCTTTATCTCTTCCATATTCTTCTGTGTAAGACCTACAGGGAGAAAGGAGTATGTTAATAAAAAATAATAATTTCTGCTTTCCCATTTAGCCCCTTTTAAACACAACAAGACCTTAACACGTAGCGTCATTTAATGTTTGCTCATCGGTAACAACGATGCTATTGTCGCCGAGCTAACGCTAACGCCGCGCCTAACACAAGCTTTTCTATCGTTAAAAACACCCCCACCCAAAGCCCTGCACATGCATTACCTTGCTGCATTAAAGTTGTGTCGTCGGTAAGCGGGAAAAACGTGTGAAACTTGGGCTCCGTGGATGAGTTATCCGGCTAAAAAAAAAAAATGTATCAAGAGAACACTTCCGCTTACCCAAGGTGTAAAACGCCACGGTTGCCTTCCGGTACTCAAAAGAAAATGTGTAAATTTAATACGCCAATTAATTCCTCCATACACAGAGCACTATCCGTTCCTTTTTGGCTGAACATACTTATTAAAAGCAGTGTGACAGACAGCTTTAATTTATTTATGTGTTTACCCAACATTTTTTTTTTTAATAGGCTGATTGTTAGGCTTTGTCCGCAGTCATAAAAAAAAAATAGCCGGGTGTCCGACTCGCTCACCGCGTCCTTAAAGGTAGCATCACATGTAAACACATTTTATAACAAATCATGGCTGCCCCGCTGGTCAGGATTGTCTCTAAGGTGAGGGGTGTCATTGTCATACCTTAATTATTAACATTTAAAAGCCTTTTTTTTATCTGGTTTTAATTCATTTCCTCCTGTATCGATCGTTTATCCTTGAGTTACGTAACATTGCTGGGTCCTTGAGGTGAAGTTCGTAGCTAACAGACGGCTAAAGGTAGCTTGGAGCACAGACGAATCTCGAGTAATTTGGCACTAACTGAATATCTAGCAAACCTGTTGAAATTGTAGCTACATGAAAACGCAGATAGAGACTTTAACTGTTTTCTGTGTTGCTCTCTTGCTCTCAGTCTTGCAGACAGATCTGTAGACCATGGGGTCCATGCCAGGCTGGATGGAGGAGCAGCTTGTCCAGCAGACCGGCTCCAGATGTGGCTTCAGACCAGTCCGTCTCCTTTCCTCCCCTTCAGACGTTTTCAGAAGAAGAGAGCATGATGAGGGAAGCAGGTGAGCTGTGGATCCTGTGTACTGCTGCTACAGATCTTCCTCAAACACTAAACATGTGTCTTGTCCTTTGACAGTGAAGAAATACGCACAAGAGCGCATTGCTCCTTTTGTGTCAAAGATGGATGAAAATTCTGCCATGGATGAGGAAGTTATCAAGTCTCTCTTTGAACAAGGGGTATGTAACTCATCCGTGTGTAAATCCTCATGTATAACTAATTGATTCTTCCATATCTCACATACTGTGTTGAAGTAAAACATTCACCCATTCAATTTTCATTTTGCAAAAAAAAAAAGAGCCGTAAGAATCATCAGTAGAAGTCGGTATAGAGATCCATCAAACCCGCTATTCATTCAGTTGAAGTTGTTGACTTTCCTGAATTAGTTGATTACAGTATTCTGCAAATTATGTTTAAAGCTAATCAGGAAACATTGCCAAAAAACATCCAAAACAGATTTGAGAAAAGGGAAAGCCGTTATAATTTGAAAGGAACACAGATCTTTAATAAACCGAGATTCAACAGAGACACTGAAGAATCAAAATCAAACATGATATTTAAAAGAAATATTAAAGCCAGTTTGTTGAATAAATATGAGGAAATATGTCAGTGAGATACTGTTTTTTTTCTTTCTTCGTGATGCTGTAATAAAAATGTATTATGATATACTTTGTGCATAATGAATTGGTAAGGAGGACTTACAAGGGGGGGCTGCCAGTGGCTGTGTTTGCCTGCAGCCAATTTAATTTAATTTAAATTGTTTTTGAATTAAGTGTACTGTTTTGTTTTGTTAAAGAGGGGCAGATGTTATAAGATTAATCTTCTTTCTGCTCCTTTTCATTCAAAAATTGAGATTTTATGTTTGTTTGTTTTTTTTTTGAATGAAATAAAATTGACAAAAAATATCTTCATATCTTCAGCTACATGTAAACCATCTGACCCAGTGATCTTGATTTTTTTTTTTTTTTTTTGTACAGCTCATGGGTATAGAGATTGACCCAGAGTATAACGGCACTGGCTCCTCGTTCTTCTCCTCCATTCTGGTCATTGAGGAGCTGGCGAAGGTGGACGCGTCTGTGGCTGTGCTCTGTGACATCCAAAACACACTGATCAACACTCTGTTTGCCAACCTAGGAACACCGGCTCAGAAAGAGCAGTACCTCAGCCGACTGTCGACCGATACGGTGAGCAGTAAGGCACACCGTCTCCCCTTATAAACCGCTACTTTGGTTTTGCGGCACAGATTAAAATAGTGATTCAACTCTGATCAGAAGACGCACAGATTTTGTTCGAAGACCTCGTTATGTAAACTAATGCTGTCTCCTGATTGGCTGTCATTTCTCTGCGCTGTATTTTGATGTCATGTTTTTCAGTGTTTCATTTCATCTTGTCCCAACAGGTTGGAAGCTTCTGCCTCTCAGAAGCAGAGTCGGGGAGCGATGCCTTTGCTCTGAAGACACGTGCCGATAAACATAAAGACTATTACATCATCAATGGATCCAAGATGTGGATCAGCAACGCAGAGCATGCAGGGGTTTTCCTGGTGATGGCCAATGTGGATCCATCTGCTGTGAGCTCATGTTTTCGTTCTTGATGTATATTGTCGGATCCATAACTTCTCTGTGCATGTAAAAATACAGGATTACAAAATCTTAGATAACAGAGACAGTTTGCAATTAAAACTCTGATAGCTGGTCATTGTTAAATACGGATCGGCTGTTAAAATGTCCCACCTCAAATGATTAACCCCTAAGAGTTAAATCAGGGCCTGCGTAACACATTTTGTCATGCATATTTTGTATTGTATTACATCACATTTCACTGATTTCACTTTCACAAATGTTGTCACCCTCGTGTTTGACTGCCAGGGATACAGAGGCATCACCTGCTTCATCGTGGACCGGGACACGGAGGGTCTCGAGATTGGCAAGAAAGAGAACAAGCTCGGCCTGAGAGCGTCCTCCACCTGCCCGCTCAACTTCGATAATGTCAAGGTGCCGCTCGAGCAGTCACTTTGTACCCCAGCCATATCTTAGCGTGTCCAACTTTAACCTCGACTAACGCTGTGCCGTCCATTGTAGGTACCAGAGAAGAACATTTTGGGACAGGTCGGTCATGGTTACAAGTATGCTATTGGGATGTTGAATGAGGGCAGGATTGGAATTGCCGCTCAGGTAAAAGCATTACAACGTTTATTTAAATGATTTAAAACAAGCTGAATGTGCTTATTTCAATGAAATAGTTTGTGCTGACTTTGTCTCTGTGTGTTTCAGATGATTGGGCTGGCGCAGGGCTGCTTTGACAACACTGTTCCTTACACCAGGCAGAGGGTGCAGTTTGGAAAACGGATCTTTGACTTCCAGGTACAAAATCCCACAATGTGTTCCTTTCACTCTAAGATAACATGTTTGTGAGTATAGAAGTTGTACAATAACGTCTTTATGGTTCTCTTTGCATTGCAGGGCATGCAGCACCAAATTGCCCACGTAGCGACACAGCTTGAAGCTGCTCGGCTGCTGACATACAACGCTGCAAGACTGAAGGAAGCTGGGCGCCCTTTCATTAAGGAGGCCTGCATGGCCAAATACTTCACCTCGGAGGTATCTGTTTGATGTTTGCATGGATTCAATTGATGGTTTTTTTTTTAGGGCCTGGGCATTTTTAACTACCATTACATCTGAAGTTATTATCAGGGACATGTTCATCTTTAAAAAAAAAAAACAGATCAATTTTTTTTTCTATTATCCGTGTAATTAAGTTTGATTTCTCTCATCATAATGACATTTTTGTGTTTTTTTTTTGTTTACTCACTGAGGTTGCTGCTGTGAGGTTGTCAAAATTAGATTTGCACATTTTAACTAAAATCACGATAACAACACTTGATAGTCGATTCAAGCGTCCTTTGGTGAGAAAAAGTATGTGTAGGTCCATTCTATTGGGTTTGATGTTTGATAACAATTCAAATGTATATTCACTTTTTCGGTGCGTAGACAGGTTTGGTAGCACTGACTGCAGTAAGCAATGCTGTTTCAAGCTGCAATATCTAAATATATATGCAAGAATATGCCCTTGTGTCCCCCCCCCCCCCCCCTCCCCCTTACCGTCTTCAAAGTCAGTAACAGAGGTGTTACAGAGGTGAGACAAGATCAGCTGAGCACGTGGGGGAGCGCAGCGCCGTGCAAGTGTATATATGTAATATCTGTGTGTGTTTGTGGAGCTCCGGCTGCGCCAATCATTATGAATGTACAAAGGCGTGATGGCGGCTGAGCGTAGTTACGGCACTTTTGCAACAACAAAAAAACGCCAACTGAAGAGAGCTTCTTTCATCCTCACTTTAAAATACTCTCAGCACTGTCTGCAGCACATCGCAGCAAAACATCTGGACTAAAGTTGTTTCAAATGGAAAATTCTTGATGATAACATAGAATGAATCAATGCACAGTCTAAATAGAAAATATGTTTTCTCTATACTGCTCAAATTTTCACGAACATCAGCAACCATATTGGTATTAGGTGAATTTGACTTCACATTAATTACTGAAGTTATCGTTCTGAAAAGTCCCATATCAGTCTGGCTTTATTTTCTAATCTAAATGCTTTGTTGGTATGTGATTTTCAGCATTATAGTCAATGTAATATGTTGTTATTTTTCCCTCAGGTTGCAACTTTAACCACATCTAAATGCATCGAATGGATGGGAGGGGTAGGCTTCACCAAAGACTACCCCATAGAGAAATACTACAGAGACTGTAAAATCGGTGAGCATGACTCCCCCAACGTTGACTTGTGTTTGCACACTGTACTTGTTGCACTGTTGTTTCGATTGGTTTCGTTGGTAGTGCTGATGCTATAAATGTGGAGAGGACAGAGCTCATGAGGGCTGCAGGAAGGTCAGGTGAGGTTGTCCGTGATTGGACGAGAGTGGTGGGTGGGCAGGAGGAGTGGCTGTAATCAGACTCTGCAGGAATTCCCCCGTCTGACCCCTCAGAGTGCCATTAGACCAACACACAGCCAAGGAAGCTGCCAGGGCAAAATGTCACTTTTCCTGTCATCAAAACGATTACGGCTCCTTGCTGGGGCTTTTGGCAGACTGAGCTGCTTAATAAAAAGCCCTTTGTCTCCTGAGAGTGAAAGCTGCACATTCATGATCTCTTCAGCAGGAGTTTGACTAAATTGACCTTGTTTTGTACTGCAGGAATTTATACTAATGCTCTGTTTTTGTGTCCATTTTCTCCAGGTACCATTTATGAGGGCACCACAAATGTCCAGCTGTCCACTATGGCTAAGTTCATTGATAAAGAGTACGACTACTGAAACCAGTGACTTCACTCTGCTGTGTTACACTCCACATTATTTTTCTTCATAAGACTTTTGTGAGATGCTCTGACTGTAGGTCAGCTTGTATTATAGTTTTTTTTTTTTTGCAGTTTCAGATGTTTGTCCTTGATAACCCTGACTTTGCTCGATGTTACTGATTTTATGGTTCCATTTCACCAACTTTGGGATTAAAGCTTATCCGGTGCAATGATAGTTTTATTAAATGTTATTTTTCTTTCAAACAGACCTTTCTATATATATATATATATATATATATATAAGATGAAGAAACATCTGTTTCTTTGTCTGACACCTATCCTTTGTCAATATTGTCCTCTTTTGCTTTTTGGGGGGGGAAGACGTCATAAATCATAAAATGCTGTTAACATATCTGATCCGTAAATTGCAATATGAAAATTGTTTTTTTCAAACATTATTCTTTGAACTTGATATTTCAGTGCCTTCAGTAGGTCTTCTATGCCTGAGATCAGTAACTTAATTTCTTTGTTTTTCGCAGAACACTCTGAAATAGGTAGATTGTGTTATTTCACTCATTTAAATAGCATACTCTTACAATATTGTACAGTTCAGGAACAATAATAAGGATAGGAATTTATCCTTTAGGACGAATCTGTAAATCACTTTGATCAATAAATGTGAATAATGTATCAGTTAAATTCATCAACCTTCTTTGTGTTCTTGGAAGAAATCACCTGTTTGCAGATAAATACCAACTTCCGCCACTGGGTGGCAGCATTCCACAGAGGGAGCGCTTTCTCATATCGCACTCTATTATCTCGTCTTTTAGCAGCCTGTCACCTCTAATGATATTTGATGTCAGTTTAATTATGCCGGTGCTTCACATGAAAAGAGGCTGCTGTGCATAATTGACTCACTGATGATTTTTTTTTTTTCTGTTCATATTGATTGAATTACTTTGGGCGACATGTGCTGAGGGGATGTGCTCCTTTGTTTTTTAGCATCATAGACGAGCTGTGTCCCAGTGTTACAGTCCAGCGATGGCAATTAAGTCACGATGGAGGTCATCAACGTGATAATGAATGTTCCCTCCGAGGTGTCTGTTTAATAATATTTGTTTACAGGGTTGGAAGAGTCAGAGTTAGGAGTGCTGCGATCAAGGAGGGCAGTGATTTAAAGACATGCTCAGATTCACAAGAGGTAAATAGAAAACTGCATTTTTCTACACTTCCACGTTACACAATTAAATAATTAAAAATCTATTAAGACTTTATTTTTTACAGATAAATAAGAGGGCTTACTTCTCTTTTGTGCCCATAAAAACCTCAATCTAACAACAAACTGGCTCACAGAGACAAAAAACAGTAAATGTGTTCGTCAAAAAAATCAGAAAAAAAAACTTAGGATACTTTTTGTCTTTAAAGCAGAAGGCAAAAAAGATGAAAAAATCTCCCATTTGCTTTTTTTCCTCAAATTGTACTGGCACAAAAACATTGAACAATGTCTACCCTTATTCCCACGAAGAGTGGTCATCATAACATTTGATTAAGTATTCATTTATAATATATATTTATAGTGTAAACTTTTGACACCTGAGTGAACAAAACTGTTATTGTGTATTTTAAGTTGGTCCAAACCATTTTTTTCCTGTCTTGAAAATCTTTTAGTTTTCTTATGGTTCTAAGATGTCTGAAAGGCAGACAAATTAAATATTTTAATAATATTGTCCCCTAAAAGAAACCATACTGTGTGTATTTCAGTGCTCCTTTGAAGAGCTGTTATATACAAAATATTAAGAACAATTAAAGCTTTGGTGTTCACTGATAGAATTAAAGTTCTGACACTAGTTGAGTCTTTTTAGGGAAGAATTATACCTCTTGACATCAAGTCTCTGCCTGGATCTGATCAACATGTTGATATTGTGCTTTTAGACAACATGACAGATTAGTCAAAGAATAAAACATTACTTATGATAAACTCTATGTTTGCCTGTACGTTCTAAAAAATCTGTTAAACCTCTAAATAAAAAAATTGGAAAAAAACATGCCTGCCTCTGCATCAGTGATTGAGAGTCCTTCTCTACCACCTCTGATCCACTCGGACTTGTTCTGTCTTTTGTGCGAGTCCCTGCTTAATGAACCTAATCTGCTGAAAACACAGCTATGAGCTTTTCACTCAGCATTGGCAAACAGCAGCTCAACTGGCCTCCTTCTCCGCCCCCATCTTTAACACAGCTATGAGACCTCTAATTATGCACCGATTCAAGTAGCTTTTCACAAAACACAGTGTTGTCCTTTAGAGCTGGAGAGCGCTCCATGAGCTGAAAGGACACACCACATGTTTGCAGGTTGAGCAAATTCATTAGATTTGATTAGTGCTATGCAGCTGCTTCAGTCTGGGTTTGAAGTCTTACAAAATCCCAGGTTGTGCTAGGGTTTTGTAAATGTTTGGGCCATTTTTCCCCATAAGAAATGTGCAAAAATTGTCCCTTTGATTACTGGAGCAGAGTGACAGGCATGCATTGTGTGTTTGTTTGTCTGCTTTTAGGAATGATTTAATGACATATACATTTTGTCTTACAGGAAAGAACATACCAGAGATCAGTTATTTGATTTAAATTAGCCAGGATAGTCCTTGTCAAATTAAATTCAAGCGTGCATCTCTTACAATCTTGGGACAAAATCAGTTTGACAGCTTACAAATGTAACCTCCATCTCCCTCCTTCTGATTTTGTGTCTTAATTGTCAGCCTATGATAATCTTATCTGATCAGTCTTGAACACATCAATGTCTCATTACACACCAAAAATACAGTTAGGTGCAGCCAAGCACACACATCAATATTCTTTATTGGAAACAAGACTTCTGTTGTCTTCTGATTTGATCACTTACTGCTTCCCCTGATTGTTCACAGACCTAGTGCAAAGCTGTTTTTGAAAATAATGTATCATCATGGTCGGCATTCAGTTTAACATCTGCCTGTAAATGAGCCTAAAGACAACTGGGTCAGGAGAAATACACGAAGCATTTTGTATTTATCAGTTTAATCAGAGCAAAAATTATTACAGCTTCAAACAGCATCCTCTATGTTAATCAATCTTACTTTTAGTGTAGAAAAAAATGTATTAAGCCTATATGTTTTTCGATGGTTCCGTAAAATGTGCGTAATTGCCCATTTTTTGTTCCCATGCCAAACTGATTAAGGCTCTTAGCTGAGATTTGACAATCCCAGAACCATTTATTCAATTTACTGACAGGTGATTGCGACTCGTGCACGCCTCCTAAAAACTCCGCGACACCGTCCTCTTTAATCTAATTGGATAATAAGTGGGTGCGTACTGTTGAGCCCGGAGGCAAAACGCTCGCGCGGCCTTTTTTCTTTGGAGTCTATTCTCGTCACAGCCCCTCGCGGTTTTCATCTCAAAGCCCATTTGCTATTGTACCTGCCCAATAGCAGAGACAGAGCGCGTTTAAACTCGGGTGGTATTTTTGATTTCATCACTACAATCCGACGCAAGTTTGAGGCTGTGATCCCTCGCGCTCTCAGTCTTGATCATCACCGCGAGCTGGACTCAGATCGGCGACTTTCTTATTCTGTCTGTCTCTCTTTTTATGACTTTTACATAGACTACAAAACAATTTGTTCTTTTTCAGGAGTTTTTGCTTCCTGTGATAAGTTTTGATGGTGATCCACTTTGGACAGTAAACGGTGATGGCAGACTCTGATGCGCAAGAGACTCGCCAACAAGCCAAAGACTCCCCTTTTTCCATCAAGAACCTTCTGAACATTGAAGACAAACCCACAAAGCCGAAAAGCCTCCTCACCTCGTCCAAAGGAGTTTTTGAAGGCAGCTTTTTTCTCGGCTCGGGGAATTATCTTTCCCTCGGTTCGAGTTGCCTGCACAGAGAATCGGACTATCAGCTCAGTATTTGGAGAGAGCGTCCACCTGGTGGTACCCTTACACACTCGGGGCTCATCTAAGGACTGCAGGTAAATCATTAGTATCTCTCATTCTGTAAATAAAGTCGATGTGATGTTATTGTCTGACATTAAAATGAACATTGAATCAATTTAGGTCATGTTGTTTATGAAGTGGCGAGGTATCAGAGTAATGTGATATACGCTGAATGAAAATAATTCACAAAATCAGTATAAATAATCTATATTTCAAGCAAAAGAAAGTTGTATTTTTATTTAATGGCTTAAGAAATTATATTTTAAAACTGCTTATTTTCCTCTGTAGGCTCTGAAAGGGCCAACCTGAGGGAAACATCACCAGCCCCGGAGAGACGTTCCCCTGATCTCCAAAAAAGTGACCAAGATGCCAAAGAGGAAAGCGCCGACGAAGACATCACTCTGGATGAAAGTGACTCAGAAGAGCCAAAGAAAGAAACAGACCAGGAGGACGAGTGGAGGAGGAAAACGGACGAGCTTGACTCGGACAGGAAGCCTTGTCGAAAGAAGAAGACTCGCACGGTGTTCTCGAGGAGCCAGGTGTTCCAGCTGGAGTCCACCTTCGACATAAAGCGCTACCTGAGCAGCTCGGAGCGGGCCGGCCTGGCTGCGTCGTTACACCTGACAGAGACACAGGTGAAGATCTGGTTTCAGAACCGGAGGAATAAGTGGAAAAGGCAGCTGGCCGCGGAGTTGGAGGCGGCCAACCTGAGCCATGCGGCGGCGCAGAGGATTGTGCGGGTTCCAATACTTTACCACGAGAACGGAGCCTCCGAGGCGACCGGGGGCCCCGCTTCTAACTCACCGAGCAGCCAGTCTCTTCTGGCTTTTCCCCACCACATGTACTATTCCCACCCGGTGCCTCTGCTGAGGCCTGTTTAACGCTGACTGCGTCATTACGCACTGTGTACATGTTTTTAAATGAGCGAACACTGGGAAAATTACAATTTCGTAAATTTTGTATATTTGAGGACACAATGCTACATATTATTATTATTGTTATTATTATTGTTATTATTATTATTATTATTATTAGGCTATTACATGTAAACAACCGTTATCCTGCTAAAGCGTCTTTGAGAAGGACCAATAAGGATTCAATTAGTGTTATAGGAGGGACATTTTAAATTATATTATTTTTATTGGTGAAATCGTGATGAGCTCAAAAATTGTTAAATAGCCTATATTTGAGTGTTTCAGTTTTGAAAGAAATGACTTGTCTTAAACAGGGTTAATTGTGTATATGTATTTCACAGAGATTTGTGTCAGTGTTTGTAACGAAAAAATATTAAATTTAATATTTTGATATTTTACAATAGTGTGCAATACAGTTGGCTTAAGGCTACCAGCCTGTGTAACATATAGTTTCAGTTGTCAATAAAATAAACCTTTCCCTTTGTTATAGTGAGGACAATCATGTGATCCTTAAGAAAATACCCAAAAAGCTGCAGGTAATAGACTAAATTGTTTTTATGACGCCATCATGTGTTGTCGTTACTTTCAAAGCCATGAAAGAGCCAAAAGATAAGCCTCTGTTTGTGTATGTTTTTTTTCTCTCTGATATTGTTATTAAAAATCTGTATATTATATGGTCTCACACTTCGTAAAGATTTCCAAAAAAAAAAAAAAAAAAAGCATCTTTCTTTAATATAATTGTGACACACATGGGAAAAGGTGTCATATAATTGAGTCATGTCTTAAATATCTCTTTGTGACAGCAGAGGTGCTGTCCTCTGGATTATTTGTGATAATGGAGCGATTTATTTTCCTCATATATATTTTTTTTATAAAGAAGCATTTAAGGATCAGTGGGGGGGCTGTGGTCATCAAGAAGCCTTCTCACAAAAAATGTATCCGTCTAATAGTCATTGTAAAATGGCCATCTTTTTTTATTTCAACGACCATTTATTTGAACGATTCGAAAATTTGGAACAGCATTTAAGACATAATTTTTTTTGGCCCAAAGACTATGACACACTGATTTCTTCACAGGTTTATAGGTCTGATATTTGGCAATGTTATTTTTGTTATCCAAAATAACTGATAACAATGGAGAGATAACCAGCTCTTACATAAACACTAGAAACAAATGTCCACTATTAAAGACAAATTAAAGGGGTTAAGTAGTTCAGTGTGTAAGTTAATCTTTGTCAATTAGTAGGCTATAATAAGATTTTAAATATCGGGTTTGTTAAGCAGGCTGAGTTATTATCCTTTTTTATTGAATAGAATACCCTTTGACTTGTTGGCAAGCCATAAACTGCCATTTAATTAAATAAGACATTTTTGGGGGGAAATGCTCAACAAATAGGCCTCAAGAAAAATCCTCAATCGTGGATTTTTTTTTTTTTTGTAATTTTGTAATATACTAAATAACTTTTACTGTAATGTATTAGAGTTTTTCATCATACATGCATTATTTCGATGTTAAATGAAAGATACAATCATCCATTTTTAACAGAAACCTAGAAAATATAGCCTTCATGTGGTTAAGTGAGAGAGGGAACGAGAGAAAGCGGTCCTGTGTCACATGATCTGTGTTGAGACAACGGAAATACGCGCTTGAGGTTACATCAACCAATCACTTCGCAGGCGGGAACTCAAACATTCGTTTCGACCAATCAGCATCCGCCTGGGGTACGAGACGCGCTTTCAATGGCGTTAGCCTCACAGTAGCCACATTGCTGTCTCGTATATTTCATGTTATACACTTAATATATCACGGTGAACCGGGGCAAAAGATACAAGTTCTGTTAAAGAAGAGAATTCGTCGCACCTGAACGACTTCAAACCAATAAGGTAAGTAAAAATAAACGGCCAATTTAACGGTGTACAGTCAGCATTACAGTAACTGTTGCGAGCTAAGCGTTAGCATCATGGTTTTCTGTGGGAGTGGGCTCCGTGTATTTACCGGATGCAAATATAACGAAACGGGTATATTGCAAGCGTTTACACCGTGAAAACCAACAAATCACACTTGATTAATAAAACACCCAATACAGAACGACGGGGTTTACAACACGAGTGTTTTACAAGCAAGTTTGTTATTACGCTTACCATCACCGCTCAGCTAAGCTAAGCTAACAACAAACTGGAAAGCTCATCCGGGGAAGTGTGCAGAAGATGAATTGTTAAAAAAAGCGGTTATTGTTGTAGTTTCTGGTCAGGAATCCTTCACTTAATACATTTGTTTAGGTCAGTTCCAGCTTCTAAATATGCCGAAAAATTACCAGCACTGCTTGAACACAAGAATAAGGAAAACAAAATTCCCCATAATCGTTTTTTTAATCATTGAAATGTTGTTTAAACCTCTTTTTAAAATCTCATTTAAGTGTTTTATAACCAAAAGTCTCAATATTTGAACAATATATTCCAATATCAAGTTGTGATATCACTCCATATATATATATTTTGTTTGTTTAGGTAAAATATATAATTTTTATTTTTAAATTATTATTTTTAAGATAAGATAAAGATAAGATATACTTTATTCATCCCAGCAGGGAAATTTAGGTGTTCCAGCAGCCAGCATACATACAAACACACAACACAACACTTATCACTTATCACTTTAATCACTTGTCACTTTATTTTGTCATTCTCTGTAAATACTGTCTCAATTCTCAATTCCCCCCAGTTAACTTCATCATTCATTTTGTACTGTATATACCCCGTTGTTTTATTTTTATTTATCTTATCTATTCTGTTTAATGTGTGTTTGAGCTTTCTTGTCTGTGCTGCTGATAAGTATTATCCTATCCTATCCTATAAATACATACATATCCCACCCATACAAAAAAAACATGAGCCCACAATACAGTTTATATATGATACATGCAGCTCAGGCTAAAGTTTAAAAGTCTTCTGTCCTTACTTAAAGGGGAGTCGTTATAAAATGCAATTGCAGTAGTTCACATTATGACATAGCAATGCAAACAGGAGTGAAAACCCATAACCCCCACCCCAGAACACACAAACAAACAAACACACTCACAACCAGAGAGGAGGTACACATATTACTAATAGTTCATCTAAACCCCGTGCCAAGGACACAGACAGCATACATATCATTATGCATCATCAATGTGTTAGTGCTACATCCAAGCTGTCCGCAATAGAAATGTCCATAAATAAAAAAAAGATAAATCCATACAGGTACAAATGTTGCAAGAAGGGACTCCAAGATTCTTCCCATTTATGTTTACATTTTGAATCATTAGCTTGCAGTTTCTCCATGTGTATCACTGAGACCAGTTCATGCAACCAGATTCTGAGGCATGGTGGAGTTGGTGTCTTCCAGTCTTTCAAAATCATTTTTTTCTCTACTACCATGCCCATCAAAAGAGCAGTTTGGATATATGAAGGGAGCAATACAGAGTCCTCTGTAGAGCCAAGTTTCTGTCAGGAGAGAGAGACCTGTGATAAACCTCACAGCTAATATTTAACATATCGATTAGTTAGTTACCACAATCACCTTCAAGCATCATATTCCTACTATAAGTTCCAAGCCCTGTCTTCTTTTACAGATGACTGGATCAAACGAGTACAAACTTAACCAGGGTCCAGAGGACAGCATCTCAGCTGTCAAGTTCAGCCCCAGCACAACACAGTTCCTGCTGGTTTCCTCCTGGGACTGCACTGTCCGTCTGTTCGATGTTGGAAGCAACACCATGCGGATGAAGTACCAGCACACAGCTCCAGTTCTTGATTGTGCTTTTTATGTAGGTCACAGAGTATTGTTTTTTTTCTCCCACATTTGCTTAGTGTTCCTTCCAGCCTTACCAGCATTAAGTTCTGCTGAATTTTACAACATTTCCCTTTTGCTTCAGGACCCAACACATTCTTGGAGCGGAGGATTAGATGCACAATTAAAAACTCATGATTTGAACACAGACCAAGGTATGTAATAAACATATCAACTATTGATAAACAGTTTTATTCAGTTTAGCCAAAAAAAAATTCGCAGGTATTCTACTTGTCTTTGCTGTGTATGTTTAATTAGGGGTTTGTTTTAATAATATTCTCAAACAGATACAATAGTGGGAACACATGACGCCCCCATACGTTGTGTGGAATACTGTCCAGAGGTTAATGTCATGGTAACTGGCAGCTGGGACAGATCAGTTCGGCTGTGGGACCCAAGGACACCCTGCAACGCTGGCACCTTCACGCAGCCAGAAAAGGTAGCGCAAAAGAGACTCTGTATTATGGTCTATGACAGTAGTATAGCAGTAGTTCTGTTTAAGTTGAATTAAGTAATTGACTCAAGCCTAGTAGTTTCTCTGTGTATGTTTCTTGTCCCAGTTTTGATATGTAAACCTAAATGCTGTGGTGCTCAAAGAGAAGGGAATTATAGATGCTATGTTTTCCAAAAAAGTGGGAGAATATGTATGAGAATTACAACCATGTAATAGTTCTATACAACAATGGTGCAGATGGTGTTACTTCATTGTTACCTGTGTTTGTTTCTATATAAAGTGAGACTTTGACATCACAAATGTTGACTCCCTGGTGTCTTACATTGTTGTTTTTGTGAAAGGTGTATACGTTATCTGTGGCTGGAGATAGACTGATTGTTGGCACAGCAGGAAGACGCGTCCTAGTGTGGGATCTGAGAAACATGGGCTACGTTCAGCAAAGACGAGAGTCCAGTCTCAAGTATCAGACTCGCTGCATTCGAGCTTTCCCCAACAAACAGGTACACTCTTGATCGGAAGTGACTTGTTATCACTATCACAAAGCGTCTGCACTTCTAATGATAGAGACAGCAGTTCAGACCTGACACATAATTGACTCCAGAAACAGCATCGTGTTTCAGATAATGCGAAGAAGCTGGATGGTAACTTCATATTTTCTGTCTTGGCTCCAGGGCTATGTCTTGAGTTCAATCGAGGGACGTGTTGCTGTGGAGTATCTGGACCCGAGCCAGGAGGTTCAGAAGAAGAAGTATGCCTTCAAGTGTCACAGGCTGAAGGAGGACGGAATTGAGCATGTTTACCCTGTCAATGCCATCTCATTTCACAGTGTCCATAACACCTTTGCCACAGGTAAGCCTCTCTAATTAGCACTTGATAATAATAACATTTATTTCTTCAAACAAGTAAGAGTGATTTGTTTTGTTAAAAAGTTCAAGCAAATGCCTATGACCTTTAGCATTGAATTGCCTAGGTTAAAAGCGAACACACAGTTATTATAGATCCATATCTCAACACAGTCGAAATCATTTGAGGTTGACCTTCAGCTTCTCCTTCTACCAGGTGGCTCAGACGGCTTTGTGAACATCTGGGACCCGTTCAACAAAAAGCGCCTGTGTCAGTTCCACAGATACCCGACCAGCATCGCCTCGCTGGCCTTCAATAACGACGGCACCATGCTCGCAATCGCCTCCTCCTACATGCAGGAGAAGGGAGACATCAACCACCCAGAGGACGCCATCTTCATCCGCCAAGTCACAGATGCCGAGACCAAGCCCAAGTGAGTCTCCCTCACCTCTTGTCCTCAGTTTAATGACAGTTTGGTCTTCTCTGAATCTGTGAGCAGCTGCATTAACAAGGAGCACGTCCACCTACAGCATATGCTGATCTCTATCTCTGTCTGTCCACTTTTCAATATCCGACAGTTGAAAGATGGACAGATAAAAAAATTGAAAATCCTCCCACCATATTTGCTGTGGTAAATATACACTCAGTGACCAGACAAATGGAAAACCTGCCAGCACTGTAATGCAGTACATCACAATAGTACCGATGTAAACACAACCTTCTGTTATTGGGTCATTTCTTAGGTTCTTTGTGTTTATACTGGCTACTTTTTTTTTTCTTCTCCCAAGTTGTTTATAATACTTTGAATTCTTGTTTATATCATGGGGCTAACACCGTGTTTAATAAAAGACAACAAAGTTTAAATTCCAATTTGCTTGTATTTTTCTGCTCACTGTAGGTATAAAACAAATAAATCTCTAGAGCCTTGAGTAATTATCATTTAAGCCCAGTTTTAAACAAAAAGATGGCATTTAAAGTATACGTTAAGTTCAGGTCTGTAAATAATCGTCCTTTTCGATACCTGTTTATGGTTCAATCTATAAAGGGCAGGATATTGTTTAAAAATGGCTATAACAAGTAGAGGAGAATGTGACATCATCAGTTTGCTTTTTTAGTATTGTGCAACCAAAATCTAAAAGTTTAACTAATAAATGTATAACTATATTATTTGTCCAAGCAATGCAACAGATAGTAGTATTTGGGAAAAGTTATTGTTTGGCTTGTCAGTGAAAAAATGACTGACATTTTGAATATCCGCTGAAATATTGGTGCCCCAGTTTATTCTGTTTTCTATATGAAAAACCTCAGTATGGACACATTTATGTTTTACCAGAAACTTTAATAACACCAAAATCTTAATGTTGTACTTACTATAATGTAAACACGACCCAAACAAATGACTTGAGTGTGAATTTATGTCTGAAATATTTTTAGAAAAATCTGAAGAGAGAAAAGAGCACCGTCAACTCTCATACTTCTCCCACTTTTACGATCAAAATGAAATAAACTTTTTCCTTATGTCAAAAGTATTTGCAAGGGAGTTTGCAAACTCCCAGCTTCATTCATCTTCTTAAACAGTTGATTTAATCCAAGAAAACAGTCAGTTTTCAATGTGAGGGACATCACTTGTGTCGGGGATTTCTCCTAAGTTGATTGGCTCTGCTCTTTTCTGTCTTTGGTTTGCAGGTCAACCTAAGCCCAGCTCAGATTGGTTCCCAATGCTTATGAAACCTTAAAGAGCCAATATTATGCCCTTTTTGGGGTTTGTATATTTAATCTATGTATCTACTAAAATATGTTCACAATAGCTGAAGTGTATGTTTTCATACTGCCGCTCCATGCACCGGCTCACTTCTGACTCTCTCTCTAAGGCTCTAAAGTGCCCATGTTCAGAGTCCCCACCTGTGCCAAGTCTCATCTGATTGGTCGGCCTGTCAGCTTTGCTGTAATTGGTCAGTCGCTCAGCACGGTTCTCGGAAATGTCCCGCCCCTTTTACCATATTGGGAATGAAGCCACTTTGGATCTGTCCGAGGGGAGCAAAAACATTAGCACCTTGGCACTACTGTGCTACCGCAGGCTGCGGCATATCATGGGCGTGCTACAGAAGTTAATTGGCCTGCAACATGAGCTGCTGGGCTTGCCACAACGAGCCAATGGGCTTAGATCAGTGATATCACACTGACAAGACGTCACACTGGCAATTTTTTTTCGAGGGGGGCTAGAACCGAACGTTACATGCAGCTAATGCTACAGCTAACAGGAGGAGGTAGGAGAAGCCGCGTTTACGCAGACTTCGAATTTTTGCAAATAGATGTGCCTAATCATGCACAGGACACATGGAACACAAACTAAAGAGCATATAAAACCAGAAAAAGCATAATATGGGCCCTTTAACACATTTTGGTTATCTGCTGGCATCCAGTGCATCATTACCACATGGTTTCCTTACATCAATTTCTATTCAATTACAACACTTGTCCTTCTTGTAAGTCATGTTTGTGAAAAGCTTTTTTCTCTTTTCTGGCTTTTGTGAAATATTTTGTTGTTAACTGTATGTTCAACCAACTTCTTTACTAAAACTGGTTTTATATACACCTTTTTAAATGTGTTTCTTGGTCCTTTTTGAGTTATTATTAAACTATTTTTATGAAAACTTTATTGACTCAACATGAAATTTCATTTTATAGCCATGCAGAAAGGCTGATTGGGTGAATTTAATGAATGTATCAAATGGAAAAACAGTAAATCAAATTATTTCCAACTGCACAAGGTCAGTTCTTATATAAAGTAAAGTTCCATGCACCTTACGCGTGAAGAGAACCTGAGAAATGTCAGGAATGTGTCAGAGGAGAAGAGGCCACTCTCTTGATGATGTGTTGAGGGAAAGCGATGATCCATTCATTTTGCCCTGGGCTCCACTTACCCTCTGACTCTGACCTGTGCTGATAGACATCAGAGGTCTTTGGCCTAAAGAGACAGAATTTGCTTTAACCCTCGTTTGAAAAAATAAATGAAAATAGAAGAGAAAACAACTAAACTAGATGAATCGGGCTGCATTCAAATTTAAAAATAAGGCTCATTTGTACATTTTCTCACTTATTTCTTAAGGGGGATTATCAGTTGAGTACCCTGGGTGACCGAGCAGGCACATACTGCAGATCTGAGTGCTGACCAACTTTATCGCTTCACTCTATTTTGGCTTATCAATAAACCACTGTGCTTCTACAGAAAGGCAATATGTATTAATCTGTGCTCAGTTCAACTGATTTTCCCAATGTTTAAGAGGAAACATAGTAGCAGAGATGCTTGAGTTGGCTAAAACGTATTTCATCGCTGAATTTATCTGCAGATGTTTTGCAAGTTGTGACACTGCTGACAGTTTCAGATGCAATGCAGACCTTTTAAATTCAGTATGCAGCTTCTCTATGAATGGGAATAGTGAACACAGCCGTGCCCTGCAAAAGTCTAAGTGGTGTCTTTTTGCCCTCAGTTCAGATTTTCAATTGCAACTAATGCAATTTCTGAAGCCCTTCAGCCGAAGCAGCAGAGAAGATATAGATGTCAATTATTCTATTTAAGAGCTCCAATTTTTTCTAATGGCTCTATCTGCCTCTGTAGTATCCTGGAAATGATTAGTTCGAATCAGTTAAATGATGTAACTAATTCCCATTATTGTCGATGATGAGTCCTTCTTTGACGTTGGATTATGACTGCAGCTTAATATGAAATTGCATTCATTTTGGCACATAATTGCAGCCTGTGCAGCAGACAGAGAATTCCCAGGGTTTGTTGTTGGGGCTACAGCGCATTACCTTGTTTCCTGTCATCTTTGGCTTCCTCTAAATTGTAAAATTGAGTTTTTTGAGTGTACATTTGAACTATTAAAGTTTTCCTGTCTTTACTGGACAGCTGTTTTAAAGGAAAAAGCAATTTAGCAGCCCTTTTGTGCATTTGACAGCCTCAACACAGTTTGCAAACAGATATATATGTAAAACCTTAAAGCATTTATTGACTTCTTTTATATTAAAGGGTTAAATCTGTTGCATTATCCATCAGCATCTTTCTACAAAACCTATCTCCACATCTACACAGCTCTCCAGGTTTTTTTTTTTTTTTTGTTCCTTCAGCCCAGTTAACCACATCTGTGGTTGTGTAGCCAGGCTCTGGTTTCTAGCCGCTCAAGTGCTGCAGACACTTTGGCTCTACATGAAACCGTTACATGACAATTAAAATGGGTGATTGTGCTCCAACAGCCTGTCATCTGCATTTAACCCAACCACAAAAAGGCTCTTGTTCACTCAAGAGGGCACCGATGACCTTCAAGCAGACACCTTATCTCTCAGGAGCCATTTCTAATAAATGAAGCTGATGATACCGTCCACCATGAGGCGAGCAGAAATGGGGAAATCACATGATGCATCAGGGAAATATTGACAACATTCTCTATTGTGGTTTGTCTTCTGTTTCATAGACCCCTTCTGAGGTGAAGACACAGCAGCACCATGCAATAATGCACTAAATTCTTCCTTTAACAGTAAATTCATCATATCATGTAATACTGATGAAGCAAATGAATCATTAATGAAGCCTATGCATTCATTTTTTAATGAATGATATTCTATGTATTTACACCTGAAAAAAGGACTGTTTCATTGAGCTGAATTATTTTGCTGCTGGTAGATAAAACTTCCTTAAATACATTTTCTAACTTCAGTGTTTCAGTGCTTTGGCTTATTAAAGAACCGTGTTTTTATCTTATTTTGCTTCCTTTGTGATAAGCAATCAAGTATTCAGGTCTGAAAGATTTTCATTAGTATGTTTATAAAAATAAAACACACATTAAACTTCAATGAGACGCTGCAGACCATGGGCTATCTGATGATATTTACCCTGCATGGAAATTTAAATATTATCAAAAGTGTTGAACGACGTTCGGAAAAAAGGAAGGGCAAATGGATCTAAATCTGTCAGATTCAGCAACCGCATAATAAATCACTTTGAAAGATTATCCCTCTGACCAGTTAGTAGATACTTTGCTCTTGTTATACAAAGTAAAAGAAAACCTTTAGGCCCCGTTGCTTTACATTACCTTTCCAGAGGCTCAGTGGTCAAATACTTGATTGGAGGATTATTCTTGATCAAAGCAAGCAAAGAGACTAGTGTCAGCTTCCCAACCTGGCAACCCAAAGTTCCATATACTATTAAAGTTTACTTTTCTGTGTGTCATTGTATATGCTGCTCAACCATTAGTGCAGTTATGGAAATTTCATGCCTTATTATATAGTGCTCTTGGGTTTTGGTAAATTTTAGATTGGGAAGAATGATTGAAATCTAAAGTGTGAAATATTTTGTTGGTTCAACTAATGATCAATACTGAAATGTCTACAAATCTGTCCGACTGGGCCAAAATGAAGATCCTGGTCTGGTCGTTGTACAGAGCCGGAGTCCTGTCCCCTGTACATCCCAGCTGGGGTTGAAACCTGATCCTCATACTCGGACGTGGCTGCAGCCTGCTGCTGCCTGCTACAGCACCTCTCGGGGCTGCCCCTGCCCCCGGGGAGACTTTTAAAGAGCTTTGGTGGGCAAGACAACATCTCCTCCAGAGTATTGTAGTTACATTAGAACCTAATTAGACGCTAAAGCTCAAGGCCATGTAACCCACTGCTAGCTTTCACACTCGCAGCAATCCATCTCTGTACAGGTCGGCCAGGCAGGCAGCGTGGAGCTGACTGTGGTTACGGGGACGCTCACCTGGGAGCTGAGCTACAGTTAATCAAACATCTCAGGGCATGACAGGAGGGTCACCGATTTTGGGCTCCAGGTTGCATTTTGGCTTAAAGGCTTTGTGCTGCAGATTAATCATGTGCTAATGTGCGGTAGAATCTGGCCTGAAAAAGCCATTGAACCACGTTTAATCCATCACCGTTGTTTAGAGAATGTCAAATAAAGATTGTATGGTGGAAAAGTATGCAGAAGTTAAGATTATTTTTTTCACCATTAAGAACCAAAATATGGCGAAGAAGTCATATTTACCTTTTTACATAATGACAGCAATTACAGTTGATCTAAAATTCTGATCCAGACTGAAATAACGCAACAATTTATTCAGAGTTTGACATCAACTGTGGTCAAATGTCCCAAAATTATTTAG